GTGAGTGTGAGAGTGAATAGAAAGGGCTCGGCTTAATGCTGTCACTTTCTCTCTTCCTCTGCAGGTATCGCCTTCACAGACTTACCCGTAAGTACCCTCCTGTTGTCCACTCCTGTCTGGTGAAGAAACTCTTCTTTAGTTTCCATAATGAATCAGGACTGTAGGACGCGAGGCTGTTGGACGCTCTGCAGACTGCAGTTGGAGTGTTTCCACTGTGTGAAACGTATTGGAGGGCTGGAACACTTGTGAGGTTTAGACGTTAATGAGTTGTGAGTTCTTTGGATGGAAAAGAAACATGACACATTTCACACTCTTTGACACTTTAAATTAAGAGTATTCTAATGGTTATGCTCATCGTGCATGTTGTACAGTCTGTCCGGTCTGCTTCACCAAGACGTAGTTAAACTTAAAGCCCCTTTTTTATATTATTTCTATGCCGATGATGTGTTCTGTTATTTTGGCAACAATCTATCATAAAGGGGCAGTTTTTTGTATCCTTTTATTTTAATTTTAAACTATGGTTTTTGAATTAGATCATATTTCTGATCTTATATAGCAAGCAAGCTAATATGCAGCGTTGATGTAGCTACATGGTTATACGCTGTGCCATTTCAGTAATCTAGCAAAACTTTAGGGAGAGGCGTCGGCTATCTGTTTTTAACATTAGTGACTTTCAATATAAAGCAAAAACACATATTGCGCAACAGTAATGACGCTGTTATCTTGTCCTTTATAAAACCTGTTCTACTCTACCGGCTCAGCACCAAGCAGATATAAGAGTTTGCAGCTAGCTGGTGATGAAGGACGTGGTCGAGGCAGAAAATTAAGATTTAATTTCACTCTGTGTCTGCTAATTCCACATGTTGTCGTGTTAATCAAAATATAAGGCGATAACGTGTCCGTGTGTGTCGGCTCGTTAAAGCTGCATCAAATAATTACTTTAATTGAAGTTGAACTTCTACTTAAATACAGCTTTGACTGCTCTTGGTGTCTGAACAGGACATCCCTTGTGCTACTTTGTGTCTCACTCCCGTCTGCTTCATTATGTGAGCGGCTCCCACACCAACAGGACATTAATTCTAATGATATTCATGCATGTATTAACCACTTTGAAATGTGAGAGGGAGGGGGGGCACTTTGTTGTTGCTTGGTAGCGAATGAATACGGGGGGTACAGCCTGTTTTTGAAGAAAATAAGAGTCTTAGCCACAACAACAATAATCCATTGAGCAGCTAAACGGGCCTGGCCGTGAGCCAGACATGCATGTTCCTCCACTGTTGTGCGTCACCTCGGCACAGCTGACCTTTGTGCTTATTGGACCGTGACAAAGGGAACTCTAAGACGCACACATACTGTTCTTATGGGGACTTTAATCGACTATTTATTCCCTAACCCTTAACCTACTCCCAGCTCTAATTCAAACCAGTTCCTTTACCCTGGCATTTCATAAACCTTCACTTTTATGCTGTGTTCACACTAAACGCAGATTTTTCGTGTGGCGCGGTGTCTTTAGAGCCTATCACCGTTGAGATTCTCCTCCTGTCATCACTGACGTTGTTGCATCATAAATGGAGGAAATCATATTGTAGCCGCAGGTGTTCACCCAGAGCTCTACAATACCTCATATTCGTGCAGAGACCAGACGTAACTGTATAAATGTGTGTGTGTGTGTATAAACCATGTGGTACAAACGATAACAACGCTGCAGTATTTACGCCTAGATTACGTTATTGTGAGTGTTGATGGAGCTGCTACAATGTTAGCTTAGCTTAGCAACAATCGATCCATACCCCATTAGGAAACAAACATTTTAAAAGTTGTTTGCTTGTCGTCTTGAGGAGAGAACTAACAAAACATGAATTCAGACTTTTTAGGAATCTGCATCATCATGTAGTTATTCTGCATCCCTTTCTGTCCGTTTATTGTAATTAAACCACAGCAGAATGTTTATTTTGGGTTCATACCGCTGTAGTAAACCAGCTGACTTGTGGCCTGCTGGACACAGTGAATACATCTTGATGATGATTCACGGAGCTCCAGATGATGTTATGAACCAGACACGACGGCGTTTAGTTTTCCGGGATGTCTGAGACTTCCACAACATGAACAAAGCAGCAATTGTGGTTCTCTCTTCCATGGTCGATGGTGGAAATAAATGGCTTAGTTGACTCCTCCTCTCTGGCGAGGATGACGTGAATAAACACAAATGATCCCGCGATCAAACTCACGCGAATTCGCTCCACGTTTGGTGTGAACGCGGCCTTAGACTAGACCTACTTTTTCTGGGTTTTTTTTTAAGACAAGTCCTAACTCAAGTCTTACCCGACTACGTCACACAATCAACAATTTTTTTTTTTGTTTCTAAGATTGTAAACTTGTGATATTTCAGTACCAATCCAAGAACTCTCTCTCACACACACACACACACACACACACACACACACACACACACACACACAGTCCAGTGCCTCCGTGATCAAATCAAGGCTGTGATTAGGTTGGTCGGATGGCAGAACAATGAAGCCATAGAAGCCTCCTCACCTCCTCGTTGTGTTTATCTCCTCGTCATGTCATCACAGATGTTTCCAGGGAACAAGTCGTACTTGACCCTTCTGGGTTTGGCATGCAACACGTCAACGTGCACTTTTTTTCCCGTCCAATGTGTCGGAACACATTTGGAAGCTAATCATGAAATAATATGTAATTGGTTAAATATTTTCATAAATGCCTCTACAAATCAGTTTAGGGTTTGCAGAGATGTTTTTATTTATGTCTCGCTGCCCAGATTTTAAAGTTTTGGATGGTTTTGTTCTGTGGTGGTTTGAGCCAACTGTTGTTTAGCTGCGTTTTGTTTTGGATTTCATCAGATGTCAAATGATCCGACAGCCTTTTGAAAAACTGATAGCTTATCGACTCCACGTGTTTGAACCCTGGCTCTCCTGTGTAAAGCCTGCTACTGCTTTTTTATTGTAGAATCGAGCTTTAAGGGATAGTTGTAGACAAAATTTGCCTCCTTAGATTTCCTGCTTTCCTGTTACTCCCCCTCTCATTGTTTACTGTTTTGATTCATTGTCCAGATTACCCCCCCCCCCCCCCCTCCCTATTATCCTAATTCTGTACTCTCCAATCTCCCTCTGCTGCAGCCCAACTTGTACCCGACCGTGGGCCTTCAGACTCCGGGGGAGGTGGTGGACGCTAACTTTGGCCAGCACCCCTTCGTGTTCGACATCGAGGACTACATGCGTGAGTGGAGGACAAAGATCCAGGCCCAGATCGACCGCTTCCCCATCGGAGAGCGCGAGGGCGAGTGGCAGTCCATGATCCAGAAGTAAGGATCGCAAAAATGAAATATTCTGGTGTAAACCTGTGCGATACATGTTTAGAGTGTTCATGGTGACAGGTGCCGTTCTTGTCTATCGCATGTTTGGCAGTTTCTTTCTTTCTTTAAAGTTGGGAGCACGCGTCACATTTCTGAGGAGGATGTTGCATTTCAAAATAATCTTTGGTGCAAAGTTATCCACGGTGATTGGCATCGTTGGGATCTTATCGATACTCTTATTGGATCTTTCTGACTATTTTGTGAGGGTGAGTCTGTGTGATTTGTGATGAGTCGTGAATGTTTGCTGACGATACTGACGGAGATATAACGCAACAGGCTGCTTATGAGTGCTACAGCTCAAATGGCTAAATGAACTTCTGTAGAAGATCTTTGGACACAGGAAGCACATTAAGAGCATACGATGTGTATAACTCCACAGCATGCTGAGTAACACATTAACAGTGTTCAGTTGTCAGCCAGCGTTTGTAGTTGTTGTCAGTTGTCAACAAATGTCTTTTGTTGTGTATTTTTTGAATGAACCTCTGGCTCATTATGAGCTAACTGGAGGTTGTGGATTTACTGCGGGTTGATTTCTAAAACCGTTTCTGGAATTCAACCCTTCAAAAACGCTCTACTGATGATGAGGAAAAAGGAAAGTAGTGGACGCTGTAGGTGACAGGAAATGACTGGTGACATGACGAGGATCAAGGCCCAGATGGACCTCTTCCCACATCGGAGAGCAGGAGCCGTGATGAGGAAGTAAAAGCTCTCCATGCCGTACTCTGAAGGGATTAGCTCTCTGTTGCTATGATTACTTGCCCTGAATGGATTTAATCTCCATTTGATGGAGGATTGGGGTTGCGGGGCGGAGTTTAGGGAGCCGGGGCCTTTTCTCTCCTTTTTTTTTTTTTTTTTTTTTTTTTTTTTTCTTCCCGGGAAAGTCGTCTCACTGCGTGGGATTGGAAACAGGAAGTTTCTGTGCTTGTGTCAGACTGGTGGATGTGGAGTGTAGCAGCAGTAACATGATTAGGCCTCTGATCACAAATCTCTCTGCAAAAACACTGCTGGCAGCGTCATGTGCAATGAGAAGCGGTCAAGAAGAGGATTCATCCTTGAAAAATGCTGTTGCATTGTGGGTCATCTAAGTACTGATTCGGGAGTCAAACGCACCTGCACACACGCTAAACATTTATCTTACACACATTCTTTAAGGATAGTTCCAATTCATTACATCTTGGGTTGGTGTAAAATGTTCAAACCGATGTGATATTAAGCCAAACACCGGACCAGTACACCAAATGTTACCACTCGGTGTCACACTTGATTCAACAGCAGTTCCCTCAGTGGAACGCACAGACTGTATATAAGAGAGAGAGGCGTTGTATACGTCTCTGGTAGAGAGAGACCTGTCAATCACTGTAGCCCCGCCCCTAAAGCATCCCCTGCTTTATGGTCTGTGTGACTCTAAATGGACCATAATGTACTAAATGAACATCATGCTGTATTGAAGAAGACTTGAAACTAGAGATTGAGACCATAAACTCATGTTTACAATGTTTACTGAGGTAATAAATCAAGAGAGAAGTAGAGTCATTTTCTCATAGACTTCTATACAACCAGAGGAGTCGCCTCGTGGAATATAATAAGTCTGTGTGTAGCAATTCCAGTCCATTGGTAGCGGTAATGCACCTCTAAGCTGGTTTGCCAACCACCAATAAACACTAAAGAAGAAGAAGCGTAAAGCGGCAACATAATGTGTTTTTCAGCTCACCTCTTTCAACCGCTTCAAATCCAAAAGGTTGCCTCATTGGCACAGTTTTAGTTTTCGTCCTCTCCCACCGAAAGTTGATCACCTTCAAGTTGCCGGCCTCGGCAGTAAATTGTGCATGGCCTGTTAGCCACTAGTGGCTCCGCTATAAACAAACATTGTGTTATTCACATTGTCATGTTGCTTTTAACTAATGCAACACAATTTAGATTTACTGCTGCAACGCTACTTTTCAATTTGCCAGAGCGTGTCATAAAGTTAAATTGCCGGTTAATTGCTCAGATTTGGGAATGCTGACGAGCAGTGAGACGGCAGAGATTGGAAACAAGCCAACAGTTCAGCCACTAACGGGAAAACAAAGGCAAACTGTCCATAATTCAACTCTTCCTGCTCAAAGAGTGGATTATTTGAGACCTTTCAGGTGTGCTCCCTGAGAGTTTTATCTCTAAATGAAATGCTTTAAGTCATTTGAATAAAGGGTTTGCTTGTTTACGTTCCCTGACCCGTCTAAGACTTCCTATTCAAGGAAAGCACATAAATGAACCGTGTTTCCTGTTGGTTAGAGTTGATGACAGATCTATTTTGGTGTTTGTGTGACAGATGAAGAGGAGCTCTTATCTGTTCAGTGTAATGGTCTGAAGGATTCCTCCTGCTGCTGCGTCTGTTCACTGAGAGCATGTTTTTGTTATTGTCTCCTCAGGATGGTGGCTTCCTACCTGGTGCACCACAGCTACTGTGCCACGGCCGAAGCCTTCGCCAAGTCCACAGACCAGGCCGTGCACGAGGAGCTGGCCTCCATCAAAAACCGACAGAGTGAGTCCTTCCCCGTTTTCCCGTTTCTAAATAACAGACTGACACCATCCCCATTAGAAAGACAAGGTATCACCTTAACCTCTTGTGAACATGTCGACTGTTGGTTTGCAGAGATCCAGAAGCTGGTGTTGTCGGGTAGAATGGGCGAGGCCATCGAGACCACCCAGCAGCTCTACCCCAACCTCCTGGAGAGGAACCCAGACCTTCTCTTCATGCTCAAGTAAGACTAGGGCTGCATTTCACCGTTTTTTCACATTTGATTGAACTAAATCACATATTTAATGATAGGAAGCCTCTTCTTACTGGAAAACACTTAAATAAAGACTACATTTGAATGAAATCCTGCTACAAAAAGCTGATTATATTCCATCTTTGCTGCATCTCTTCTTTTTATTCCCTTCTTCCTCTGTCTCTCCTCTCCGGCTTGTGTTCCTCCCTCCCTCCCCCCTCAGGGTGAGACAGTTCATAGAGATGGTGAACGGGACGGACAGTGAGGTGAGGTGTCTGGGAGGTCGCAGCCCAAAGTCTCAGGACAGTTACCCCGGCTCCCCCCGGCCCTTCAGCAGCCCCAGCCACAAAGCCAGCAGCTCCCAGCCGTACCTCCCAGGTACAGTCCAGCTGTGACCAGTTCTGTCTTTGCTGTTAGAAAATCAAGCTGTTTTTAAATAGGATAGCATGACAATAATTATGTTTAATTTAAGAGGACTCTTCAGCAGAGCCTGAAAAAGCCACTTGTTAAAAGTTAAAGTCATGTCCATCTTTCCCTCTGCTGCTGTTGTTGTTTTAGGGTTTGACAGTAACTGCTGTAATGGTGTGATGTCTAACAAGAGCCACAGCTCCTCCCCTCACAGTCACAAGCCCTGCCCCCCCGAGCTCTGGCTCCGCCCTGCCAGCGTCTGACGTCAGCCTCAATGGGAGCCACAGCCAGCAGCCCATAACCAGGTACTGGGAAAAATACTAAAACTAACATTTCATTTGCCTTTTAGAGCTGAATTTATGCTTTGAAAAGGACAGTGATTGGTACCAACCCCTCGTAGGAACTACGACACGCATACACAAACTTAAATACATTAACTTCAATAGCTTAAACCTACATAGACGCTTTCACAGCCGATATTATGACATCATGGTCTTAACTCTATTTAATAACATTCATTGCCTCAACAAGCGATTTGACAGCAGTCTCCTCCAGTGGGTTCAACATCTCCACTTTGCCGCAGTGATGCAGAAGTGTACTCCGGGTGTGTCGGTACACTGTGACATCACTGGTGGGTGTGGTTACAGGGGGCGACACCATCACTCTTTCTCCAGGAAAGTAGCCCTATCTTGACACAAAATCAGACGACCAATGGTAAAGAAACTGTTCGACGAGAGAACATTTTCATCCTAAATTTAAGTGACGCTATGAAATCAAGACTTAACGTTTATTGAGGAGGAGTTACTGAACTTCCTGTGAGCTGTCACACATCTTCTCCTCGTGTCCCGCCTCAGTAGCGACGTGGATATGGAGGTTGACCACTTCACCAACGGAGTGACAGAATCGTCCTCCAACGGTTTCCTCAACGGCAGCTCCAAACACGCCACCGAGCCCGACGACTGTGACGCCGACATGGGTGAGTAGAGTGGGTATAGACTCGGCTTTAGAGGAAGACGATGTCATTCCTTCTCTATGGAATGTCATTTTTTTTAACTCTTTGTGGTAATCGGGGATTGCATATTGCCGGGTAAAGCGCTCCATCTTAATGCCTGTGCTGTCAATGTACCGTCCCTTCATTAAAACGTGCCCGTTCTGCATAATGAACCGACCCGCGGCTCTGCAGAGGTGGAGTCGACTCACTCCAAGAGGCAGCTGTGCGGCGGGAGCCAGGCGGCCATCGAGAGGATGATCCATTTCGGCAGAGAGCTCCAGAGCATGAGCGAGCACCTCCGCCGTGAGTGTGGCAAGAACTCCGCCAACAAGAAGATGCTGAAGGTAACGAATCACTCACTGTTTGCCTAAACTAAAGTGTAACAAGCTGACCGATACACAGGAAGATATAAGCTGCTGTCTCGGGTTGTTGAAATGCATTTTGGGAAATCTAAAAAACTTGTAACTGAAGTGGAGGTTCACTGTTCTCAGTAATACTTGAGTGAAGTGTACTCGAGGGATTCAGGATTGTACAACAACAACCTTGGATCCTACATTTCCCATCATGCAACTTAACAGCATCCTTTCCCTGCTTTTTATAAACACACTTCTTACAAACACCACACCTCCAGGTTTGAAGATCTGGGAGCAGTTACCGGGAAGTTACTGGTCTCAACCTGTCTAGCTGTTGCCCCTCTTCTTCTAGACTTTGTGCTAAGCTAACTGGCTGCTGGTGGTAGCTTCATGTTTGGTGTATAGACATGCTAGTTACAGCAATGTTCACTCAACAAAGTGTGAAAGGCTTCAACAAGCCGTGAGAACTGAGCATTGATAGACTCGTAGTAGTATAAGAGTAGTGTACTACAGAGTAGAACACATGTTGTCGTAGTATAAGAAATGGAGGAGAAAGTGATCTGTTGTCTCCTCCTGCAGGATGCGTTCAGCCTGCTGGCCTACTCGGACCCCTGGAGCAGCCCGGTCGGCTACCAGCTGGACGCCATTCAGAGAGAGCCCGTCTGCTCCACTCTCAACAGTGCAATATTAGGTGGGTCAGCTGTCCGGTATTAAATATAGCCGTGTTTCCACCGAGTACTTCCTGGTAGCTTTAATCCTTCAGCTCACTGATGTCTGTTTCCATGGAGGTGAATGATGAGACCTGAGTTAGTCCACTGGAGCAGCATGACGGTGGTCGTAGAGGTAAACACTCTCTGCAGGGAAGTGTTTATCTGATTTATCTTTAAAACAAATATAATATTGAGGTATTGTCAGTGATATTGAAAAAGTAGTAGAAAGTTATATTGCACATAAATCACAGTTGAGTGTTTGATTATTTATTCTCAACCGCTGTGAAACAATCAGAAAATAATTTTTCTTTGCTCTCGTTCATGTCACCGCCGTGCCGTCTCTTTTCTACCGCTCGTCCTCCAGCTCGGTCCTTCGTGATTTTTCTCTAAACTTATTTTAAAAAAAGAGTCGGGAGGCCGACAGCAAAGCCTAAATGCACTTTGAATGTTATCAGAGCAAGAGAAATGCTAAAATGGTTCCTAAATCGACAGAGCACTTCCTTGTTTTATGAATGAAGCAGCGGCGCCGTGCATGTTGGACCAATCGGCGATGATCATCCCTGCAAACTCCACCCCGAAGGCTCCTGTACTTTCAAAAATACTTTTTTGGCGGTTAAATCCCCCAGAACTTAATTTAGACCCTGGTCCCTGCGGTCAAAACTGTCCTGAAGGTTCCTCGTCCCTGCTGTGGAAAAGGGGCCGATGTTTAAATTTGACAACGAGACGGTCATGAAGACGTGAAGACTTCAGATACGGTTCTGAGAGACTTATTTTAATGTGTTTGTTTATTGTACATTTTTATATTTTATGTCTTTTCTTGTCGATTGTGATTCTGACCCACCGATGCACTTAAAGCACACCGAAACCATCCTCACTCTCTGTTGTCTGAAGTCCTGATGTTGTTGTCCGTCTGTCTCGACCCTTCCCCTCTCTCCAGAGACTCACAACCTGCCCAAGCAGCCCCCCCTGGCCCAGGCCGTGGGTCAGGCCGCCCAGTGCCTCACCATCATGGCACGAACTGGCAGCGGCTCCTGCGCCTTCGCCTCTGTGGACGATTACCTGCACTAGCCCTGCACACACACACACACACTCTCTCTCTCTCTCTCTCTCTCTCTCTCTCTCTCTCTCTCTCTCTC